TTTGGAGGGGGGAAGCGGTGGGGGGGAGGTTCCATTTTACACTTCAGTTTTCAGCAGTTCATAGATTTCCTTAGTGGAAGGGCCTCATTCAGCCCATAAAAGAGAGGAGACTGTGGATTGTTATGGCTTGTCTTAATAGGGTCTTTGTTTACAGATGGTCAGTGGCTGAAACATGGCAAGGTAAAGGTTCATGATTGTCTTGGTTTTATGTGTTCTGTAAATTTAGGTGTAGTTAGGAGATAGTAGTAATGCCTGAGATTCTTTCCTGGTGTGCTGGCAGCTTTTCTTCCTTTAGTTTTTTAGTTTTAGCCCTCTAGCAGGACTTGGAGGCCAAAAGGTTGATATGAGGTTTCTTTTCCCTAGTGAACATTTATTGAGGCAAATTATGGAGGTCCTAGACCAGGGCAAAAACCATAGACCAGGAGTGGAAGAAGGAGATAGCAGGGTTTAAAATATTTGTGTGTATTGCAGTATACTATTTTTTCATATGAAAAGATTAACTTGAACTTGGTTCCTGTCACACTTCCTTAGGAGTATTCAGAGTAATCTTTCATATTGTTTCAGCTATTGATGAGAATTAGTTACAAAGGAAGTGTTAAGGGAAGTCATTTCTGGTTTTGTTTGTAAAGTCTCTGCTTGTTTGCTCATGGAATTTTCTAATTCTTTTTCACACATGTGGACTAACAAAACTGACTGTGTTCCAGATTTTTAGAATGTCAGAATTCTAGTTAGACAAAGTTAAACATAGAAATAGTGCCTTTTTTCAATACGTTGTGTTTACTTTCTGCCATATAAGTTTTCTTTCATACCTAATCCAAGAGTGCATTTCACTACTTCCATGTTCACCAAATCATAACCACACGAAGAGGTTATTCACCACTTAGGAATGAAAGTCCCATGTGTTAGCTATTATCTTCACTGTGCTGCAGCACTTCAGAATGAGTGCTTGGGAGAGACTTTATGTGCTGTACCCAGCCTTTTACTCTCTTCCAGGCAAATGCAGATACCTAGGAAATGCTACTCTCTTTTGCTTGGGGGTGGAAGAAAAAGATCTTTGTTCTTCTCATAAGTTAGCAGAAGTTTAATTGTGGATTTTGAGGACTAGGCCCAAAATAGATAGCATGATTTATTGTATCTGAATTATGCCAAGTAAATACCTCGATGTTTCCACTCAGTTCTAGGAAGAAAAGTCATCCTTGTTTAAAATATGTGCAAGGATTTTCGTTGATCTCTCTCCCAGGAAAATTATGAACGTCATTATACAAATATGCATTTTAGTAATATTTAAAATTATTTAGACAGTTAAACTGTTTGTCCTCTTTTCAGGGTCTAGAAGACTAAACTAAAATAACATGGTTACAATTTATCTTTAATTCCAGATTACAGATTTTTCTTTATTATTAGTATTAAAATCAAAGTTCCTGTAGATGACATTCAGGAAAAGCTGATCAGCAGGGAATTTCCTGCTGTCTGAATACATGGAGATAAGTTATGCCACTGTGATGATAGCCACAGGTTCCATTTGAGGGGAGCTAGTTGTGATGCAGTGACCTAATACAGCATTCCTGCCTGTGGGGACAGATTAGGAGACTGAATCGTTGAATTCCTGGAAGGTGGTAGAGTAACTATAGATAGTGAAACCAGACTGTGCAGAAACTCAGAGTTGCTGTCAGAAGTGCCACATGAATCTCAGCGTTTTGTGGAAGGTAACAAAGTCATTCGTAGGGTAAATGTAGCAGTTTATATGGGAACTGATGTGGGATTGCTGAACCTTGTTACATTTTCTCAGTCATCAGAATTGGTGTAAGCTTTTAAACTGCCTGCTGGCAGGGAAATTTTATTTCATTCTTGTCCTTTAAAAAGCAGTTGTCCTTGTTACATTCCAGCTAAAATCAAAAGCTGTTGTCTGCTAAAATTGTCTGTTTGTGGTCCTTACAATTGGAATCATCTTCTTAAGAAGAAGTCCAGGCATATTTCTTGCTTCGTGACATGGGCATAAAGTCTTGCTCGCTGCAAGAAAATCATCAGGGAAGTGTATTATTAGATGGTGGGTGTTGGACAAGGAGGCCAAGAGAATGTATGGAAGTGAGGGAGAAAATAGTGGAAAGTAAATACCAGGGAGGAAAGAAGGAAGGGAAGAGTGCAGTGGGAAGGCCCATAGAATACAGGGATTGGGAAGCCATAGCACAGACAATTTATATGAACTGGGCAGTAGGAGAAAAGAGAAAGGAAAACGAGGGAAGGTTTAAAAGAAAGATGTGAACAGGGGGTGTTATAGCAATGGTTCTCTCAGGGTGTTCAGTTCATTCAGAGCCAGACATGTCTTCAAATCTATCCTGTTATGAAGAGCTGAAGCACAGCCTCAATTAAGTCGATTCCTGCAACTGGCCCTGGAGCATGGAAGAGTGTGGGTGAAAGGACAGACTTGTGCTGGTTACCATTCATTTTACTGGGTTGTCACCTGAAATGGACAGTGAAGGAAGGGCCTGAAGAAGGTTGCAGCTCATTATGGGTACTTACAGAGCAGGCTGTGCAGTTCCAGTGATACAGGACAAGCAGGTTAAAACAGTGATAATCAGATATTACCAGATACTCTTTTATCAGGTTTCCCTGCTCTATCTTCTACCTGTGGGGAGACCACTTCCCTGCGAATACATGGGAGGGCCTGCATTCCAATGTTACCCTATATCCTCAGCTCATCTTGGTAAATAATCACTACATGAAGTTAAAAGACTTGTAAAAATGGCATTTCATTTTTCTCCAAACAGGTCTAGCTTTTCCATAAGTAAAAATTGAAATGATGCGTGAGTATACAGGCTTCTGGAAATGCCTTACAGGACAGCCAGGTCTTTGTTGTTCACTCTGATACATGACTTTGTTCCAGTTCTGGGATAAAATTGGGAAGGTTTTTATTATGGCAAAGTCTTTCAGAGAGAACCTGAAAAATCAAGTCTTGCTCGGGAGCCATCCTGCATTAGACTTTGGAATTGAGTTACGTCCTGCATTAGACTTTGGAATAGTTTTCTTGTGGGATCTTTTAATTATTCACAGTCAAGGAAGAGGTTGGCAGGTGGATTAGCAGGAAACCTCAACTTGTATATGAAGTAGGGAATGTGGTAGGCTAAGGTCTTTTGGATAGCATAGACAATAACAGCAAAGTTTAAAAAAAGTATTAAACTCCTTTGTTATATTTTCCTTGAAATTTACAACCCGCATTATGCACTAAAGTTTTAGATGTTTTCTCTGTCAGTGTCAACCAGTAAAATGTATTTTAAAAGCAAAAAAGATAAAGCTCTGAGTCCGTTGATCTAACACTTCAGTAATTTACTATCATAAAATAGTTTTAAGTACAAATGTTTTATCTTATGCCAAGCTGGACACTAAAGATGTTTTGTCTAAAAAATGAGATAGTGGAAAGTGTATTGTGGCATGTGAATTACTTTAGCTTCTTGGTGGTAAAAGTTTGCTTAACCAGAAAAGAATGTGTTGAGGTCCTTGCCAAAGGAAAGGTATTGCCATACTTTGCATTTAGACCACTGTAAATAAAGCAGTAAATATGTTTCTGTTCATGTGTGTTAATCCACAAGTTATGAATGTATTCATTCAATAAGAAATGTAATATACTGTTATCCCTTTTAAAAGGTTTCAGTAAGAAGAGGTCATGGTTACTTTGGGGTTGAGGGAAACATGAAACCAAATATTTTCATGATGATTGAAGTTGAATATGAGAAATAGTTTTTACTCTAACTAAGTTTCCCTTAAATCCCAAGAACTCAAATCCTGTTTTACCTTCAGTATTCTTCTTGTGTGCTGACTCCTCTGATGTACCGTTCTTAATCATGCATTGCTGTAAATCATAAAGTATATGATTTCTTTCACCCATCTGGTGTTGGTTTTGGCAAAAGAAAACCAACTGCATAATATGTTAATGATCAGAGGAGGCAGAGCAGCTATGGGTAATACTCCACTTATTGCTTGCAGTATGTTTTGGTTTTGAACTTCATGACTTTAACATACAATAGCTTATTAGTAATTTAATAATGTTGATTGCAGTGTAATAATATCAGAGCATCTGTTGGATGCTGCAGTTATGGCAAGTGAAAGAAAGGGGTTTTCTTTCAGAGGGCTTTGAAATATCCCTCCCTGTCGCCAAAAACCCATGTCCAGGTTTCCAATTAGAGAATTGGGAGAGATTATTACAATTCTAGGAAATAATCATGAGAAGACGCTCGGTTTGCTTTCTGTTATTGTGGTATCATATGTTACATACCTGGCTTCATCCTCCAGGGTGAAGAGCAGCCCTTTTCTGACAAAGGTAGCACGCACACACATGGGGATTTCTACAGGGAATTTCTTGCAGATAAGCAGTGATTTGCTTAGCATAAATGGGGATATTGTACCATCTTTTAGAAACTAGTGTCCCAGTGTTCTGGATATTGGAGTGCTTCTACAAAAACAGAGCTCTAAGTGCTTCCAGTGTACCTTTGCTTTAGTAATTTTACAGGTACACTTTTTATTTCATCTTCCCTGTACTTTACTGATAATTCATAAGCAAATGTGTTAAATAAGGTACATTACTAACCATGTGAATTAAACCTGTAGTGTTAAAGCCCATAAGTAGAACATTAAGTGTTATTTTAAATTTAGAATCTGATTTTGGTAAATATATCCATTTTGGTAACCCCATGTCCATATCTGATTTTGGTAAAAGTACTTGGTAAGTACTCATAAACCGTTTCAGCCCTTAGAGAAGTTTGACTTTGATTCTCCTCCTAGATGTCAGGAGGGTTTAAAAAAAATATGTAGTTCAATAATAAGACTGTATCTATGACATTTGAATCATAAGATAGTTCTTCTGAACACAGTATCATCTGAAAATCCTGTGATTTGGCAGAAAGCTTCTCTTCTTTCCTCCCCCTCTCTCCACAAAAAAAAAAAAAGTGTACATCATGTCCTTCGTAGTATTAAAATTCAAAATGAACTTCCCTGTTATTTTTAAGGTACTATGAACTGGATGCCAGAAGAAGCCTTCTAGACAATTTGAAAGGCAAAGTAATAATTGAGTATCCAACATTTTTTGTGGTCTTGAAAACATTGAAGAATGACATGGTGATTCTTGGCCAAGGTAAGTATTTATTTCCTGTTTTACTATACTTAGATATTTTAGTTAAATAAACAACAATTAAGGATGTGCCTGTTAATGATGCTGGGAACGTGCAGTATGTCTTGTATTTCCCTCTGAATCTAAAAGTTTGCTATAAAAAAAGGTGTTACGAATGCTCTGTCTTAAAACTGCTGGCTGGTAGCTTACATCCATAACCTGTATGGTGTATGTATTTTTAGCCACTAAGGTGAAGCAACTCTTCAGACTTGTTCTAAATTTTGAATGTAGCAAAGTTTGACAGAGTTGGTTATTTCTAAAAAGCAAAGCTGTTTGGGAAGGTGATTCGTAAGTAAAGCCTGCTGATCATTCAAATGAATTGTTCTCCATTATTTCCTAGTATAACTCCTAACACTGGACAAGTAATTCTGAATTACAGGTTAGTTACTAGAAATCATAATGGTAAGGTAGCTTTTCAGATGGGTTAAAAGCACGATGTTATCTTTCAAGAAGTACTTTGTTGAGGGATGACTTTCATCTTGTAGTCAACTTAGAGGAGAGTCCAGGTCTAGCAGGAATTTGTATTTTAGTTTTGAAGGTAATTTCCATCCTTCTTCCAGTATAAAGGCTTTGTGTCCCACCTTCATTTTCTGCAATCAGTGCCCTTGTTTTTCAGTCCCCCTGCTAGTCACCTTAGTTACAAAATCCCATACTCTTCAGTGATGAGCCCGTCTGTAATTTTTAAAGATTTCTAAAAAAAAAAAAGCTTTAAAGTATGTTTGCAATGGCTATTACCTTGTGGCAGCTCAGTCATGGCTCTATGTGAATATAATTTGACTGAATAAATATGAGACTGAGAATATTGTGCCAGTCATATTAAACTTCCATGGATCTCCTCTGTTCTGGCTAGTCAACATTAAATGATCCACTGGAGCAGTCTGCTCTCAAAACACCAGCATGTAAACATGTATTGTGCTATGCACTGCAAGAGCTTCTGAGAGTGAGACACCATGCCAGGGGATAAGGTAAAGAGTCTTGTCTGAGCAACTAGGTATACTGATATTCACCGTAGGAGTGCACATACATACACTCAAGTAAAAGAAAATGAGATACTTTCAGTTTATCTTGAACTACATCCCTTGCTTTTCAGTAGTCAGCCCTATTCCCATGACTTAGATGTCAGGAGGGAATAACAATCGGCTCATGAACTTAATCTGAACAGGGTGGTGGTTGTTGTCCCCTGAGCTAGTAAGGAGGTTGTCCTTTTAAGGGTATAGATTCAGATAACTGTTGGTTGAATAACTGTATTCTGAGGTCGTGCTGCCACACAGCTAGCTGGTTCTGTAAAAGGCAGAGTAGAAAGGCAAAGGAAGTAAGAGCCAGTAATAGCTGGGGAAGTGCCGATGTCTGTGTACCACAGCAGTGCGAGTGTGTGTCTTCAGGATCTTCAAGAGTAATCCCTTCTTCTGCTGCAGGGATTATTCAGTTAGCAGTCACCCCTGGAAGTGGTGTTTGGGGAGCACTGGCACTGTTTTGGGAACCAATAATTTTCTTAATTATTTTTTGAACTGTTTCTATAGATTCTGTAAAAATAAGTGCGTAGCTCCCTATTCAGATGTCTTAATGACATCTGCAATAGATGACAGCTAATGGCAAAAATAGCATGATTTTCACAACTTTTATCATAATGTGGTTTTGTACATCTTATCAGTTAACATACTAACACTTCAGCCTTGAGTTTAGTTTGGACCCTGTGTTCTTGGAGCTTTTTCTGTTGAGTGAAAGCCTGCCACAGTAACTCCAGATTCTGTCAGGAAAAGCATGTTCAGAACAATATAAAAATGTGAGGGCTTTTTTGTTACTATTGCTCCACCTGAAGACAAAGTACCACTTTTGCTTAAGTGTGGCACAGTCACAGTACTCTTCTGTTGTGTGTCATCTTTACAGAATAAAGGAGAAAAAACAGTAAATACTGTTTGCTTTACCAGTTGCATTCACATATAATTGCTAAGAGTGAAAATAGTGGGTTCACCTCTAGACCTCTCCAGGGAGAAGTCTGTTGTAATGAGAGAGATACTTCACTCCCATCTGCCAAGAAGTGACCTTTCTGCTGCAGCATCGTCTGTGTTTCTTACAGTGCAGTTTCTTAGTCATTTATGGCTCTTTGTATCAGGTGCATGTCCTCCTAATCCATTCATGCTGCTCATGCTTATTCTATCTCTACCAATACTGCTTTTCCTTTCTGCCTTCTCCAGTGCACCCAGAGGGACACTTGTCTCAGAGCGCCTGTCCGGCTGACCTCCCTTTCACATTCCATGCAGACAGCTGCCACACTGATGAGTGGATGTCTGGCAGGGTGTCTGCTGGAGCACAGGGGCTCTAACTACCATAGTTCTCCAGACTCTGTTTGCAGGGGACACAGGCTAGAACAAGAGACAAAGTCTTGTGGGAATCTGACTGCTAAAGTATCGTTTCTTTACTGAGCAATCTCAGATATGCCCCCTTTCCCCAGGAAGAACTCTGCTTTCATAGCCACAGCAACAGGCACATGCATGAAAATCACCATTCCCCCCACGATTCAAGTTACTACCCCCAAAGACTGGGGAAGGGCTAGAGCTAGACACCTTTGAAGGGAAACTGCTAGAATTTAATGAGGATAAAGCCTGTTTCTCCTATCCTTTTTCTCAGAAATGGCTGAATCATTCTGCCTGAAACATTTAAAAAGGAAAATAAGTACTCAGGAAGGAAACTGGCACTGAAAGATTTAAACCCAGAGTTTAAATTTTACATTATAAGTAAATTGCAGACAGTTTTATGGTGGGAAGGACTGGGCAATCTTAATTTATAGGCAGTGCTATCACCACCTACAAATATAATCATTTTGAGTGAAGACAGTCTGTAATTCCTGTTAAATAAAACTTACTGTGATAGACTAAGGCTAAAATTTATCTGTTTAGCTTCACTGTCAGAAGATTGCCACTTTCTTTTATGTGATGTTTTGGTGCTTGACTTGCTTATAGTAAAAACTACAGGTGCTCTGATTTCAGTGTACAAGGTCAGTCATGGCTGAAGATAGGAGGGGATTATAGAAGCTTTCACAGGAATTAGGGGCAAAAACAAACCTTACTTTGTTCATTACTCAGTACATATCTGGCATATAAATGTTAATTGATTATACACTAGATTTAATGTAGACAAAATGTGACCTCTGATGTTTATGGGTGAAATGCTTTATTTTCTTGAACAGATTCCATTGAAACTGTACAGGTGCACACTGTGCCCTGTGTATTATCCCTGTTTGCCAGCTGTGGAACTTAATCTTGACAAGACAGTAACTGTACTTCATCGGCTCTCTTGGTAAAATTTCTTTAACGAAGCATCTGACACTAAATGCTAAAAAACTTTAAATCCATAGTCAGGTCAAATACTGAAAATAACAGAGTAGAGCATGAATCATGGGCCTGCTTTGCTGCAGTTTATTTTTGTGCTGCTTGAGTGCCACCAACCAGCGGTATCTGATGACCTCACCACAAGGTGACCGGGGTCAGCCCTTGTTATGGAAGGAGTCTCAGGGCGTGAGGCTGAAAACTAGTTTGGGAAATGAGTTCTTCACAATATGATCTCAGCAGAGCACCACAGCCATGTCCTAAAGCACAAGTTACTGTGCAGCATTAGCCTCATCAGCCTTAGCTCATGGATTCACACAGCTTAACACCATCTTTGGGATGCTGGAACACATGGAAGGAGCATATGATCCCAGTTTTCCATTTGCATTTAGGATTTCTCAGTAGTTCCCCATCTTAACTGAAATGCTAATAAAAATGTAAGTGATTTATAGTTCACTACGGTTGTGATACATGTGTGTAGCAACCCAGAAAACATTTAAAGCAAATAAGCAGAAAGAAAAGATCAGAATTCTCAGTTCTGATAGATGAAGAAGAGTTTTGTATGGGATAAATATTCTGCTTACCTCCATAACTGAAAGACCAAGATTTTAAAACTAAAAGGAATTTTCAACAGTGTCTGTCTTTCTCCTTCAGCAGTGAGGTCCTACCTAGGGCCTTATCCCATGTTATTTGACTGGTTACGTCTTACGAAACAGCTGTACTTAAGGAAAGTCTGAGTAAAAGGAAAGGAAAAGAAGATAAAAAAACCTGCTTCTGTTTGATGATCAGACAGCACTGCTGAAACTAATCGCTGCTTTTTGTTTATGTCCTGCTCCCTCAGATGCCAGTGAACCTGCAGAGAACTCGGACAGTGAAAGTTCATCCCTTTCATCTGTGGAAGAAGGGGAAATTCGGGATAGTTCATGACAGTTCTTTGGGAAAAGAGGGTGGAATGAGCATTTTGGTTTGGGGGGGGGGGCCTGTTTTTCTTTTGATGGTTTTAAATTTAATTAATTTTATATATATATAAAACTGCCTTTTCAGAACTTTGGTTTGGCTTTCTTCACTAAAGGCAACACTTCCAAACTGCCTGCCTATTTTGGGATTTAGTAATGGATATTTAGGAATGTAAATAAAGAGATGGGGAATTTCTGGTTCCAGAAACAACATTATATTCTGATTTAAACACACACTTTTGTCCATGTATCTTTAATAAATCAGCCACCCAAATTTAAAATTTCCAGGTTATCTTCAACAACGTATTTTTTCCTTTTGTCCTAACAGCTCAGTGACTGATTTCCAAGTTTAAATACCTGATAACGTATTTGTATTTATATATGGATTCAAGTCTTAATGCTTAAATGTACATTAGATTAATTCCCTTTTTGGGGTATTTCTGTGTCATGCTGAGTTGCTGCAAATGATTTTACTTTGCTTTTGAGTTTAATCTGTGGTGAAATTCTGGGTGCCTGGTGCAGTCCATTGGTTTTTATTATTATTGTTTTTTCTTACTTGGTTGCATCTTGTTTGATGCGTTAAGGACAACTCAAACTATGTTTTCAGGGTGGCATCTTGTTGTATGTTTAATCTTCTACCCTGATCTTCTAAGTCAGCATGGGGTTTAAAATCAATAGAAATGGATACTGAGAGTGTCAGTAATGCTAACATACTGGACTTCTGAACAGTGCTTATGTTATGCATCTCCTATTAGTAGTTTACCTACTGAAGCCAGGTATTTTAAATAGTTACTGGAATATCAACTGAATTTACCTACTTAAAAGAAAATAAACCTTAAGAAAATAAAAAAGTTCTCTATCATCTGCTGACAAGAGAAATCTCTTGCTAACTTGTGAGAAGACTTCTGGATCCCAGCCCACTGTATCCAATTTCCCTGTGTCTGTGGGGTCTACTGGAGAATAATAAATGTGTGCTGTGAGCAGTGTGAGACAGGCCTTTAGAGTTAGTTTGCAAGGGTCTACCTAAGTCAGTATTTGTTTTAAGTCTTCAGGATGTGATCACCGTGAACAGCTCTGTGAGATGTCTGCTGCCGTTGTTGTTCCCTAGTCTGTCTGTCTCCTGCTTGAGACTGGCACCTCTGTGACAGAAGTCAGTGGCATGGGATGCCCCTAAACTGCCATGGAGGTGGGTTTTCAGTCAGAAGTGTACTTCCTGACAGCACTGATCTTAATAGGTAGAAAGACAACAGCAGTGAAGGAGCTTCACTGAGAGGAGCAGGGCAGGCCAGGCAGACGAGCAGGATGCGCCAGGCAGAGTTCTCCACCTACGCATGTGAGTAATTGTGAGTAACTTGTTCAGGTAACAGGAGGCTGTGGCAGCAATGGGTGAGAGGGCTTGGGCTTCCAGAGTCTCAGTCTGGAGTTCAGGCTACTGAGCTGTTAGTTCCTTACCAGTCATGCTGTGTTAATACTGTTTCTTACAGTCATACTACATATCCTTACCCTTGTGTGTTTTGCAGGCCCTGGAAAAACAGCAAGTTTTTCTTCTTGCGTGGCGATAGCCACCTGTGCTCTGTTGTATTTATTAGTAATTGTTGGTCCTCTGCCCACCTCTTGTTTCAATATTTGTTTTTTTACCCTTTTTAAAGGACCAGGATTCCTAGCTATAGGTGCTTCTTTCACATCTTTTTCAGTCCAGTGGAAGTGAAATCAGTGATTATTGCACGCTGACTTGGTAGCCACAGATTACTTTAAACCAGTCTTGAACTCATTCATTACGACGCTGATAAAAGAGCAGAACAGCAAAGCTGCCACAGTTCTTTTGCCAGAAAATGTTTCATCCAGAGTTAATAGCGTGGCATTTCTGTTAAGATTCATAGCACACAGTGGAAATGAAAGTGCTGCAAATATTAGTGTTGATCTGCATGTGTGTGCAATTAGTCTTTGGCTGGGGAAGGCAGTGTTATAATTTGCATTGCTCTCCTACACTCATGGAGGCTTTCATTAATTGCATGAAATGGTTTGCCTCTGGGTTCTTTTTTTCTTATATAAATCTAGTTTAAGCTTCCTTGTGCCTCAGATACAGCTGTAATTTGTCTTTAAATGAAGATGCTGTTAAATCTCTCCTCCAGATTTAAATCTTCTCCTACCTTAAAGAAGGCTTAAAAAAATTATTAAAGAGCATTCCTGTGGTGGTTACTAGAACTGAAACTTCCCAAACAAACCTGGTAATCATCTTCCAGAGTTCAGTCACACTGAGAGTAAAAGGCCTTGGTAGCATTTGCCATTCAGTCCCAGGTTACTATTTGCGTATTTTTATTTAGTTTTGATAAGAGTTTCACTAGTTGGAACTGTGGTGATTCGTCAAATGCAAGCCAAGATGAAATTCAAATATTTTTCTTTGGTTTTACTAAAATTTTCAGTCTTTGTTTATAAAAATGAATCAAAATGATGGTCTCTGGTTAAAAGCGCAGCCTGACTTATGACAAGTGACCAGTGCAGATCCTGCAGGTGGTAATTCTTCATAATAATAAGGTTACTGATTTAATCAAAGTTTATGAACTCTTTGGCTAGGCAGATAGTTTGTAAAACTTTCATAGGCATTTAGGGAAAGATTTCAATTCCTTTCTGAGTCAAGTTTATGGTCAAGCACTTAAAATTTAAAACATGGAGCTTGAGGCTGCTTGGAAGACTCAGTTCTGTCCATCTTGAAGACATACTGTTGTAAGCGCATTACACAAGGATCCCTACAGAACTCTGTCTTGATTCAGGGCAGATGATGTCTGCGAATGAAAACTGTCTGATGTTGTCTTTAATATTCATCATTCAACACCAGCTTGCATTGAGTGCTTGATTGTATGCCTACTATACTTACTCATTTATTTTCCTCTGTAAACCACTTGTCACAGAAGGAACAAGCTGTTTGTGTGTAGAGTTGTTACAGCATTTCTTTCAATGGTTAGGCTTTGCAGGTTTCAAACCCTGAACCCTCACCGCATGCTTGAGCCCAAGGACCATCAGCTTACAAAGCAAAGGCTCTTGTCCTGAATGAACACGCTACTTAAAAAAATTAAAAGCTTAATGAAGTCATCCCTTTCACAAGCCGTAGAGGACAAAAATAGAGCATAGCTAAGCACATAGTAATAGCTGAGAGGTGGGGTTGAGTCAACCCTCTGAGAGAACTTGGGTCTTTCCCTTTTCTGTAGAACTTCTGGGTGCATGAGGCGTAAGTTACTGAGTTGTCATACGTGGACAGTGTTACAGCCCCTGTCAGTGCAACAGCCAAGTTTCGAATGAGCACATCTGAATTCCAGGTTTTCCTGTATTTATCTTTGCATTAGGGATTGTTGGTCCCTAGACAAAAAGAGGGTCGTGCTGCAAAATGTGTGGTTGGTGCTAGGTCTTAAAGGCAGGCCATGCCCCATTATGTTAATCCAGTTTTGCGTTAGGAGTAAACAAATACATACATTTCCAAGTTCACTATAGCAGTGATGGCACGTCCCACCTCTGTGCTGCCTCTAAGCATAGCTGTGATTCAGACCTTGTCCTGCCAGATATGAATGTTCTCTGTTGACATCTGTAGGGGCTGAGAATGAATAACACCTTGCAAGAGCAAGCTTTCAAAGAGTAAATATACAGCTGTGATGATGTAACTCCAAGCCATGTTTGGTCACAAACATTTCATTCTGCTTTCTGAAGTCCCACGCTCTTTTCCTGAAAACATTTATTCTTCCTCCCTCTAAAGGAAAAAATATCTTGGATTTGTGTTTATGTTGTTGCCATGACATTTGGTTAAACTGTATGCAGATGCATGTTCTGTTAATAAGAGAAAGAAAAAAAAAAAAGACCTGTGTACTTCAGTGAACAAAGATTGCCCTGTGTTTGTATTAAAATGTTGCTATGGCAGTGCATATGGTTTTATTTGGTGGAAATTTGTGGTGAGATGGAAGGAAATCACATGTATGCAAGACAAACAAGAAATGGCAGCAAAAGCGACTCGACATAAATACTGAAACTGAAAGGGAAGTCACAGATGACATGTAAAACCAGGAAAAAGTAAGGATAGTTGTTTTGCTGCCTGTCTGTGACTTGATAACAGAAATGTGTTCCCATTGTGTCCTGCTGGGTCTCAGTGACCTACTGGACAGGGGCTTAGCTCTAAAGATGCCTTTATTGCTAGAGCTTCTTTCCCTTGTTGGCTCCGTGTATTGTAACTTTTTTGTTTTGGAAGCAAAGTTCCACTGGCTTGGCCTGATTTCACCACTGCTGACTTTTCCTGCTGAAAAGCATTTCCAGGCTATCTTACTGAAGTAGGCTTCTTGGCAGGAAAAACCAATAGAGTGATAAAATATGGAAAGCCACTAGAGCCTCATCTGTCTCTGGGGCAAGGGGAAGTCTTTGTGGACTAGTAGTAGAAACTGGATTGTTTTTAACTGGCACAGTAGTCTTCCTATTTATCTTAATCCTTTTGCATTAGGCTTCTTTTTGCATCAGTTCGCTAAGTACAACTGTTTGTGGGGTTGCCTGAGAAATCAGAATGGGTTAAAAGTCATCTGCCAAAGCAGCAGGGGTTGAAATGAGAGGGGAGAGGGAATCATGAATAAATAACCACACTGGAGCTGGCTGGTTCCCACACGATTCCAGCTGGTGGAGAAAGCAAAAGTGCTTTTAAAATCACATTGCCACTTCCTTCCTGTCATCCCACTTCTGCCTCAAGAAGGGGGAGGAAGTGACTGTGGAAGCTGCTGTTGCCTTCCCACTCTGGGCAAATCTGTGCACCCTACCGTTATATCTAGTAAACAAAAACCTCACAATCTTGTGTAATCTTTCCCTCCTGGACAGTTGTTACATCCCATCCCGTAAGTGGTTGTACTTCAAGACAGAAGAAGTTGCTTATGTAAATGGTGCCCTGGGGTCTTTCAGGATCTTCTCCAATATAAATTGTGTATGTAGAAGTCATAGCAGTAGTCTTTGGGGGGGGGGGGGGCTATCATGTCATACTGAATACCATACTTTGAGATTCTTGGTATTTGGTTTTTACAGGGTAATACAGACAGGCACTTATTATATCATTTTGTTGGTTGAAGCCCCCTTTTAAGGATTTATATTTTCTAGACATGTTCAATGCAGTTCAGTTGTTCATGAGTTTAAATGCATTTATAGCTATCTCCAAAACTAGCTGTACATTATGCTTTCACTAAAACGCACACGTGCATTGAAGTGCCTTTTTGCAGGATCAACTCAGCAGACTGGGAGCACTGGAGATACTCCTGCAGCAACCGCACAGGTTTGTGGTGTCTCTGCCTACTCATGCACATCCCACTGGCTTCCCATCAGTAGTGGGGAGATGGACCTGATTCCTGGAAGGTGTGCACCTGGAGGGTCAGGCAGCGCAGGTGGCTGCCTTGCCATGGGCCCTGCAGTAATGCATGCATGCAGTATAGATTTTCTCATGGCTTGGCTTGGTGAGGGTTAATTAATAGCTTGGCTGTCCAACTGTCAGTTAGATGTAAGCTTTTCCTCCATCTGCTGCTTATTCTGGAGAGAGAGCTAGCTGCATCCCATGATAGAGGAGTTAATGGAATTGTAGAAGTCTGTTTTCTGCATAGTTTTTTGCCTGTCTGCTTGTATTTTGTTTCCTGTGATGCCAGCGCTTAAAGAAGCAGAAATTTTGGCTTCACTGTGATGACTTTATTCATAGGGAGGATTTTATAGGTAACCCTGAAGGTGGTTGCCACCATCAAACCCTTGTCGGTGAATGCCCTGAACACGCTTTCTTTCGGTCCCAAGACTGCAGTTTGACGAACGCTCCTTCTGGCGGCAGCAGCGTTTGCCGCCGCCTCTTGCCGCCGTGCCCCGGTACCCGCACCTCGGCTGTGCTTGCTCCTCTTGCTTTCAGGGTTTTTGCTGCTGACGTCCTGGCCCTGAAACGTGCTGAACACCTACCGCTTCTTGTCACGGACCGCACTTACTGTGTTCCTAACTCCTCATCTTTTAGTGTTCATCTTGAAGGAGGATAGTGGTATTCTCTGACCAAGAAATAAAATCAGTTGCACTCATTAACCTAACCTGTAAGCCCTGCTGAGTGTACTTAAAGGAACAGGTGCTTTTATCATTTATATTCTCATAGAATCATAAAGTATCTTAAGTTGGAAGGGATGCATAAGGATCTTCATGCCTAGTATTTAGGGATTTTCCTGCTGGAGCAAAAGGAGATACAAGTATTTCATAGCAAGTTCAAGGCCAGGTTGGACAGGGCTTGGAGCAACCTAGTCTAGTGGAAGGTGTCCCTGGCAGTGGCAGGGGGTTGGAACTGGATGAGCTTTAAGGTCCCTTGCAACCCAAACCATTCTATGATCATAGGAAAAAAATTACGCTGTCCTTCTACACCACTTGAGAATTGTGGGTTTTAGTTGTTTCGCCATGTAATTGTGAAATGCAAAGAGAGGACTAGACAGATGATGCTGGTGTTAGCTTCCAGCTCTGTAAGACTTGCAGTTCATTTTAGTGGGGTCCATTCCCTCCCATTATAGCAGGATAATTTCTTTTACTGTATTTTATTATTATGTTTGTGTGATCTGCTCTCTTATTCTCCCAACAGTGCATCTTTCTAGTGAGTATATTACAGAACCATCCCTCTACTTGATGAAATGTGGAAATCCCAAAGCACAGGTTGTAAAATCCAGGTCCTGCTGGAGCAGGAGTTGAAAGGGCCACTTTTTTTTGTACATGGTATGTGTGTTACAGACATCCAGTCTGTGCATGTAGTATAGTTACACGTATATGTAATGTGTCAGTGAACTGTTACTTACGTTGGTTTGAAGATGGGTGTCATTTAAGTGTAAGTGGCAGCAGGGAGAGCAAGGAATGTGCAGGCAGCTGCTGTGTGTCTGTGAGCAGTGGGTTCCTCTTTGCTCTGCGCCATAACCCAACGTGCAGACCCAGTGATTTCTCAGTGAGCAGCTGATGTGGTGTTCAGTACTAGATGTAAGTAGAAGCCAAACAACAGCACTTCACGGCATTTTACACTTCTAGTGTCAACAAATATTGTACGGACAAGTTTAGGTACAGCTGAGACTGGTGGCCAGGTGGTGGATTCCAAACCAGCTCAAGTTTGGAATGCCTGCAGGGAGAGAACTTGACTGAGCAGAAGAGAGATGGCTGTAATTTCTCAGGCAAAGCATTAGCTGCCAGAGATGAGCTTCTGAGATATTTGGCTATTTATTTTATTGAAATATTTATGCCTCATCAAAAGTTGACTCGTAACCACTTCTGCATCTGACTGGATCTCACCCTTCACAGTGCTAAAGCCTCAGCATTGGTCCCTGGGTCTTACGAGAAGTACCTCTGTCTTACTACAGGTTCTGGGAGGGTATTTTGCCAGAGAACTAACTAGTTGCAAGGAGGAGAAAAAAATAAAAGCAAAGTCCCCTGTTGCAGGTTTCCTTTCAGCCTTATCTGTAGTGCAGCTCTCTGTGAACCAGAGCAGTACAAATGCTTGCTGCTGCTGCTTTCTCAGATCCTACTCTGGTTCATTATTGTAAATGTCATTTTCTTACCCGCGCCAGCTAGCTCAGCGACTCCCTTGGTTAGCCAAATGTCATCTGTCCCCCACAGGATAAAGTGCAATTACGTAGTTAAAAAGCGGGAAGGGGAGGTGAGGAAAAGAGAAGCTGCTTTGCTTTTTACTCTATTGGAGAAGTACTTGAAATTCCTCACATTCTTCTCCTGTTAACAGTATGTTTACTTTTCATCACTGGGTTATTAGGATTAACAAAAGTCATTGCTTCAAGCTCATTTAATTTGAATTTAGTGAAAGCAAACTACCTCCTGCAGACTGTAGGAAACATTCTTCTGCCACAGAAATGTATTAATTTGCAAAAAAGAAAAGCAGCCACCAAAAAAAAATGCGAGACCTGAGGACCACTTCCACCCCATGCTCAACATCCCTGTGCATGCGCTGCATCCTAATGAGGGACCTTATGTTGCAAATTCCAGGACGGTTTGAATAATCTGACAGTCTTAATTAACATTTCAGTCTATCAAACATTTGCTTTCAATACCAAGGAGTTTTTTCTGTACATACTTTCTAGCGCAGGCTGCAGACACCACTTCAAAAGTGGCATTTAGTCCAAGAATGAGACTCGGGTTTCTAGTTCATCCCTGCATCTGTAGCAGAGCTTGTTTTAATTTTCAGAGAATCTGAGCTTCTCACAATTCAAGCTTTTCACAGAAAGCTCTTGCCTTTGCTGTATCTCAGTCTGTTGTCTGTCAGAATGCTCTACTAAGAGGAGTTAGGTAAATATTTCTTTATTAAATGATCAATTCCATAAATAAATTCTTTTAATTCATTGAATATAAAATTAAAATCATTTACAACTTATTCCAGTATTACAGGGGCTGGAAGGGGTAAAAAAACAAATCAAAGAGAAAACAAAAAGCTACAGTTTGATAAATAAAATACTCAGCTTTAAAACAACTGATTTCTGTTTGCCATTAAACTACAGTTGGTACATAATAGCTGCCACTGTGAACACCCCAAAAGTGCCCACCTCAGGAAGGAATGTAACTTCCAACTTGGTTGGGAAAGGGGGGGAGAAGATGGAAAGAGAGGGAGAAGCATAATGTTAAATGGAACAGGATAGGAAAGTTTTCATAACCAGAAGAAAACATTTATCTGATCACTTACAAACAGAAAACAGTACATAATTACGTAAGGTGCTCCAAAAAGAAGCAGTAAAGTGGCTCCAGTACTATGAAGCTTTAAGTATGCTTAAATCTCTGTTGCATTAGTGTCCAGTTGCACAGTGCACTTTTGTAACATCTCAATGTTGCCCCCTCAAATGGGCAAGGCACCATTTCCATTAAAGGTCCTTTCTCCACAGCTGGTTACTTCAAAACTCTTGTTTAGCATCCCACCCCCAACCCAACTTAGTCCCTAAATTTGTGGATGTCATTGACCAGTCTGTAGTAGGGGTAAGCCTCGTTCGCATGCGGACAGTTATAGTTGCACCGGCAGGACTGGATCATCATGACGCTCTTGGTGAAGGTTTCCCCATCGTCGCAGCGGAACCTGATCTTGACAGTCCTGGTCTGCTGGGGTGTGCAGCACCTGCCATCCACGCAGGAGCCGCAGTACTTGGGGCGGTACTTCTTCACACTGGAACATCCGGCGTAAGTAAACTTCACTGGGGATGGGGATTTCTTGGTCTTGGTACATTTCTTCCCCTTCTGTAAAGGAAAGACAGTAAGATTATCAGCAGGAGATTCTTCTCTAGTCTTTACCCTCTACCCAAAGCAGTTTGGAAAGAAGAGGAGCCCTGGAAGTGTCTGTATTTACCTTTAGGGAGGCATAGCTAGGCTGGCCACATGGCCTCACTTCACATATTCTGGTCTCTTTGATGAGCTTGCAGTCAGGGTTGTCATTGGTAACCCTTGTGGAGATGCCAGTTCCACACGTCTTTGAGCACTGGGACCAGGAGGTTGTTTGCACAATGCATTTAGGATTCTCAAAAGCTCGGCTTTGTGGCTCAGATCCAAAAACTGGAAAAGAAAAGGAGGGCTTAGCCTAAATACATCCTCTCACAGGGTTTCTTTCTTCCCATGGGGGCCTGAGGGGTGGTATAGCCATCCCTCCCACCTCCTCCCCTTAAACTGTCACTGTTACACAGATCAGCCCATACTCACCAGGCAGCATTTTCAAGCCTCCCTTCACAATGGCAATCAGCTCATTGTTCCTGGTTAGTTCGCCTTCGGAGTCATCCGGACCAAACTCTTTGCTGAAGAAGCCTTCCAGCTCATCCAGCGCATCCTTGCTTTCATCGCAGATCCACTCTTCGCAGCACTGCCCGGGCACTTTGACCAGCCTGGGGCTGGGACAGCCCAGGTTAGGAAGAGAGAGCTCCTGTGGGCAGAGCGGGATGCAGCCCACAGCTCCATCTATGCACGTACACTGGTGCTTACAGTTCGGCTGGAAGCTTTCGCCGTTCTGGTAGATTTTGGAGTTATATTCACACGGTCTCCCCTCGGACTGTGCTGCAGAGATCAACATGAGAGGGAAGAAGAGGGAGTCAGCGGCGGGAAGCGCTCGTTCAAGTACAGGTCTGTTAAATTCAATTTACGGTGGGGCTCCCTGCAACCCCCCGGAGACGGGGGCCAGAACAATAACTTAGTCAGGAATCACTTTTCCTTATGTGCTTTTAGCGAAGCCCAGACATAGTGAATCGCATTCCAGACTGCTGAAGTCATGTGCCTTTCTGCCAAGCTACCAACAACAAAGCATAACCATACATGGACTCGAAATTACTAAACTTCAGCACCTCGGGGACCGGGGTCTGCATCCGGGGAAGGGGAGGGGGGCGCTGAGCGGAGGACCGGAGCCGCTTACCTCTGCAGATGCCCTTCAGCGCAGCGGGGCTGGCGCCGAAGTTGCACTCCAGCCCCTTGGTGTGGTCGCAGGGCTGCACCCGGCTGCAGTCCTCGTTCAGCTGCTTGGCGCAGACCTTGCAGCAGCCGCAGCCGTCCGGCACCAGCCCCACGCCCGGGGCGCACTGCGGCACGGCCGCGGGGCACTGGCAGACGGCGGGGCAGGGCGAGCCCAGAGCCTGCGGAGTAGAGCACAGCGACGGTGAGCGGCGGAAGGGAACGGAGCGACCCATCTTTACCACCCCGCTCCGGACATGACCGTGGTACTCACCAGGCGGGCTAGGCAGAGGAGTGCGGCCGCCAGAGCGGGGCGAGCGCTGGCAGAACCCATGTCTAGCGCCGGCAGAGCTGGAAGCTTCGGGACACCTCCAGGCGTGAGCGCGGCCGGCGCGGTCTGAGGCAGGGACGCGCGCTTCTGCCTTATATAGGCCGAGGGGGCCGCCGCGTGCGCCGCGGCGCTGACGTCGCGCGTTCCGGGCCGCGGCCCGCTTCCAGCGCTCGCGGCATCCCAGGAATGCGGCTGGCGCGCGCCCGCCCCGCCCCGTCTCCCGGCACCGCGGCGCTGGCGGCGGCTCTGCCGCGGGGGGTGCCCCCGCCTCGCGCCCGCCCCGTTCCCCCCCCCCCACCCGCAGGGACCAGCCGCCGGGCCAGGAGCGGGAAACGGGAATGATGGGGATGGGGATGGAGTGGGATGGGGTGCGGGGGGCTCGGCGGGACCGGGGGATGCCCGTCCTGATGCCGCCGGTCGTAGGTGGAACAACGCGATTCCCTCGGACACGGAGCCCGGCCGGCAGCCCGGAGATGCCCGGCGTGCTCCGAGGGCTCCCGCGACTGGGACGTCTCTGCGGGAATTCCCGTGCCCCGCGTTCATCGGCGCATCCCTGCGTTGGTGACTCGCTTCGGGAACTCTCGGACAGCGTTTCCCCATTGGGGTTGAAGGTTTGGGGCTGGGGAGGGGGCTCCATTCCCTCTGTGCTGCTCCGACCTGGTGGTGAGCGCTCCCACCGAGTCCGCGCTCCAGACGTAACAATATTTCCATATTTGGTAGAGCAGTAGCCCGCATTTTTCACATTTTTGTGCTCTGTTATCCAACCACAAAGCATTCTTGACAGCTTCAGATGTTGTTAAATATAGCCTTAACTTCTGTTCCCAGGGCAGGAAATTCTTTGGAATTCCTGTTTTTTACGCAATCCGTCTATCATGATTTAGGGGAATTGCGCTGGAGGAGCCAACTGGCGTTCCACCGCCTCTCGCTCCCTCGCTGACAAAAGCCCGGCAGCAGAGCGTGCTGCCCAGCGGCCTGACAACAAGTCCCCATTCCAGCGATTTTTTTCTTTGCAATGAGAGCATTGTCCCTAACGCCACTTTGGAGTTGGGTTCTTGGGTTTTAGGGCTCTTTTTTTCCGACCGCCTTCAGGGCTGGGCGGTGAGGCAGCGGGCACCCGGAGAGGCGACACTCCACAAATCCCCCCTCCGAAGCCCACGGAGAGGGGAGGGGGCACGGGAGGCAGCGCCGGGGGTGCGTCGGGGTCGGGCCGTTACCTGCCCGTGGGGTCCCCGCTGCAGTACGTGCCCGCGGTTAGGGAGGGGAGCCCGGACTTGCCGGTGCCGCTGCCAGAGCGGTTACAGCCGGGACCGTTTCAAGGGGACTGAGCCGGGACCGCGCACCCGGCTCCCGGTAAGTGCTGCTGCCGGTGCCGCTGCCTCCGGCGGGACCGGGGGCCACGTGTTCCTGCCGGTGCGCGCCTCTCCCGTGCTCTGGTACCGGTGGTGCAGCTTTGTCGGGCCTCACCGGAGCCTCAGAAAAGGCGTTTGTTGTTGTGTTGGGAGCGCTGGTCCTGGCTGTGGCTCTGCCCGGCGGCGGGACGCGGGAAGGGGCGCACAAAGGGGCCCCTGTCCGCGGTGGAGCCCGGCAGCGGCGGCGGCAGCCGGAGCCTTACGGCCGGCCCCCTCCCACCGTGCACCTTCCGTGGGACGGAGCGGGGCTGACAGACACGGCCCGGGTTTGTCCACCCGCCCGCAGAGAGCCTGCCGCTCAGCAGCATCCCCGCGACGGGGACAGGACGGACGGGGCAGCCTCTCCCGCAGCGGGATGCCGTGACCCCGGGGACAGCTGCTGGGGGAGCGCGAGGAGTGTCCCGGCGGAGGGGACAGCGGTGCGGAGCCCGGCCCTATCCTCTTTCAACCCTCCCGGGGATGTCCCCCGACGGGAGGGCTCCTGCCATTCCTCCTCCCATGTCCAGGCCTGATGGAGGGTTCTCGTTGTGGGGTTGAGCACCCCCCCCCCCCCCCAGACCCCCCAGCTTATTCTCTTTGTGTTCTTCTTTCCATTGAAGTAAATTAGATGGATATTTTACTTTGTGGTGGTTTGGGAGTTTGGGAAATGGGATGGGAGGAAAGCTCCAGGCCCTTTTTGCCCAGAACTCGCTCTTCAGAAGGCAGCAGTGGTTTTCTTCATCACTTGCATGCCTTGAAATTTGCCCAGAAAGGACAGTAGCTGAAAGGGAAATTCAGTCTTTAGTTACATGCATCTACCTCCCGAGGCTGCCAATATATACTGTTTAGTGCCATTTCTAATGACAGGAGGTATTTTATGTGTCCATTAAGAATTGGACAGAGACCACCAACGGACTTAGATGGTTGCCAGTAGTGGTAGGAACGACTTCCCATTTTACTGATCTGGCTGAGCCCCAGCTGGTGACGAGGAGAAGCAGGGCTTGGTCCCGTTTCCAGACTCTGAGCTATCTAGTATGCCGGGCTTCCCTTGGTTTTATTGGTGTGGGGGGTTTTCTGTGGTCCTTTAGGAAAAGGAGGAATAAGTTTGTGATTCAACACACCTTGATGAATGAAAATCTTGAAAAATTCCAAAAATAACCCCGAAATAGAACAAGCAGGAGCGGCTGCTTCACCAGTGGGGATTAAACCATCCAGGTTTGCTTTCCAGGGATTTATGCAAACACTTGTTTATTCGATTACATCTAATTTAAGGGTGCACACCAGGCGTTCCACTTTGATCTGTGGCTTTCACGACATTCAGCGAAAGCCACAGGAGAAGTGAGTGAATAGCACCTTTTCTCTCTTGGTTTCATGTGTTCCATGCATTCACGCAACTTTGATGGGAAACTGTAACTGAGCCTCCATTTGCTCAAAAAAAGGTCACTTAGAAAGCTTTGAAGCACCTTTTCACAAACCTGTCCTGAATAGCAAGTGGTTGACAAGGCTTGGGAAGGGCTGAGTTTCTTTGGAGGTCAGGTTAGACTGTGACCCTTTCGTATGCTTTCCCTACACACTTTTCCCTGTCGCAAGCTGTGACCCAGCATTTACCTTCCAGGCTGTGCCTGCAGCTCCTGGCTGCGCACCCGGAAACAGGAAAAAGTTTGGAATATGTTGTTTTTTTAGATTTCATTCAGTGTAACATACTGTTCCAGACCTTTATTGTCCTGAGTGAACTGGGAAATACCCCCTGCTTCACGTCATGAAGAGTGTTTTGCTGGCTCCTCACTTCTCATGCTGTAGGCTGTGTGTCAGGTAAAGTCTGCCAGGAGCTTGGCTAATGCAAAGCAGGAGTTTGAAACAGTTGGCTTTACATAGTAGGTATTACAGACGCACTGGGTAAATCCTGTCATTTTCAGAGTCCTGTGTCTCTCTCCAGGGAAAGCACTTTCCAGAGAAACAAATCAAGGAAAAATAACCGTTTTTTCTTCCCTCCACCCAGCATCACTTTTCCATGGCCATGCACAGGGACCGCAGAGCAGGGTGCAGTGCTAGATAGGACAGAGGCTCCTCCGAGTGCTGGGGCTCCCACTGACAGTAAGTATCCAACACCAGACCAGAGCATGCCAGAGGTTTACAATCATGTGGATTCTGGAGAAAGATTTTATTAAATCCAGTGTCCAGCCATTTTTTGCACTGTGTGTAATTTCCTCTTTCTCATGCTCTTTCTCCTCTGCCCATGCCTTGCTGCGCTTTTCTGTCTCTCCTCCTCCTTTTCCCTATTCCAGTCTATTTTCCCTGTGGCCTTCCCTCTTCTAGCATGTCCTGGTTTTGGCTGGGATAGAGTTCACATTCTTCCTAGTAGCTGGCACAGTGCTGTGTTTTGAATTTAGGTTGATAATAGTGTTGAGAACAGACCGATGCTTTAGTTGCTGCTGAGCAGTGTTTACAGTAAGTCAAGGGCTTCTCAGCCTTCTACCCCGTCTCAACAGAAGCCACGAGGGGGCACAGCCAGGACAGCTGACCCCAGCTGACCAAGGAGATATTCCCTACCATATAGCATCGTCTTCAGCATAGGGTCTGGGGTGAAAGCTGACTGGGGGCCACTGCTTAGGAACTGACTGAGCACTGGTCAGCGAGAGGTAAACAATTGCATTGTGTATAACTTCCTTGCATATTGTAATTCTCTTATTATTCCCCCCTTCCTTTTCCATCCTATTAAATTGTCTTTATCTCAACCCCAAAACTGTACTTTTTTCCCCCCAGTTCTCTCCCCCATCCCACTGGGAGCTGGGGGAGCAAGCAGAGTGGCTGTGTGGCGTTCAGCTGCCTGCTGGGTTACACCACGGCACCGTGTTTACCTAGCTCAGGCTGGCCTCTCTTGCAGCCCCTGCCAGGCCGCTGGTTCCTGCTGCACTAAATCAGTCCTCCTGGAGTCAATGGCTCCTCTCAGTCACTCACAGGAGGTGCAAATCCAGTGGGGCAAATTAAGCATAGCAGAGCGGCCGAGCAGCCAGGAGGTTTCAGCAGCTACAATTCGAGTGGATTCAGATTTTTTTTCCTTGCTTTGATTTGCTTGGAGTTTATGCTGGATTCTGTTGAGTATGGCATTTCCTATTTGTTTTCTTCCTCTTCCCTACTGCCCTCCTTTCAACTGTGCTCATGCCTGTCAGTTTTTCTACAGTCTGTGCCTTGCCTGTGGTTTCTAATATTAGGGGAGGTTTGCTCTGCAGTATTTGTTGTGCACTGCGAGGCATGTTGCTTTGTAGGTGTGCTGCATTTTCCTCTGGCTGCTGTCAAGGTGTCGCAGAGTTTCCCATTGTGAAAGGGGGACTTGCGAGCCTCCTACCCTGCAGGGAAACAGAGAAGGGAAATTTGATGTAACCTTCAGTTGTGCTCATTGCCGCTTTGTTGGGTGTACAACCCTACTGATACACCTTACACAGATACAAGGGATGTAGCAGCATAAGAGAGGCAAGAAGCATCCCTGCTGACAGTCAGTGTACTCCTGTAGACCACTGACCAGCAGTACACACTGCAGGGCTTTCTTGCCCCAGGCTGGATGCCATAATGCAAAGCAGTTCGAGCCAGCTCCTGCTTAGTCCGTCCTGCCTTGTCAGAGACTCAGAATACCTTTGACACTGTCATTCAAGAGTCTAGCATTAACTTTGGTGTAGTACCAGCTACTACCACTTCCTCAGTGAGAGG